GCCCACGGGCTAGTACAATGCATACAAATGATATATGAACATTACTACCTCCGTCCCAATTTAAAATCTCCTCTTTCCTTTTTGGTCAGTCTCTTAAAAATGTTCTATTTCCTTTTTGATAAACAAAACAGTGTCAAACAATGTCAAAAGTATCTAAATAGTGTTAAATAATGACACTTTCTTAAATTGTGTGTAAAACAAAGAAGACCTTTTAAATTGGGATGAAGAGAGTATTATTTACTCTCTCATTCCCTTAAAACTTTGTCTTCTTTTCTTTTGAGACTTCCCAAAAAACTTAGCTTCTTTCTCCTTTAATCAATTATTTTGTTATTTTTGTTATTTTCTCTCTCTACTGCACAAACTTCAATTACACAGTTTTTACTTTATTATTCTTCGTGCTGGTCAACTTTGTCAAAATTTTAAGGACGAAGATAGTATGTTTCATAAAACAAGAAATGAAAAACAAAGAAATAGGAAACATGTGCAGTCTAATTTAGAAGCTGTTCTCTTCGTTTGATATGAATGTTTCTGATCTGAATTTATTAAGTTCTGATCTGATCTGAATCTTTCTGATCTGGTCTGATCTGATCTGATCTGATCTGAATATTTCCTTAATTATAATTATAATTATTATAATTATAAATATTAATATCATTTAAATATAATTTATAATTATAGTCATAATTCTAAAAAATTATAATTATAATTATAATTAAAGTTATAAAAAATTATACCTACTACACTAATTATAATTATAGCTATAAATCCTATAATTATAATTGTAATTATATTTTAAATTATAATTATTTTTGTAATTATAAATGTGATTATAATATTATTTCTATAATAATAATTATAATTATAATCGTAATTATAATTATCATTCCTCTGTATAATAATAAAAATAAATAATAATAATAATAATAACAATAATATTTATAAAAATAATAACAATAATAAAAATAGTAATAATAAAGCTAATAAAAATAATAATTATAATAGTAAAAATAGTAATGGTAATAGTAATAATAGCAATAATAGCAATAATAATAATAACAACAACAACAATAACAACGACAATAATAATAATAATAATAGCAATAATAATAATAATAATCACCACCTCAAATTTAATCATAATATTAATAATAATAGTAATATAATAATAATAATTATAATAATTATTATTATATTATTTTTATGAGTTTTTTTCCGTATTAATGTTAATTAATTAATTAATTACGAAAATAGGGTTGGGTTAAAAGTATTTACCAAAATACTGCTGGGTTAACCATGGTCGGAGGTAAGTCGCCCAACGGTTGGGCGACTTATAAGTCGCCAAACGGTTTGGCGACTTATAAGTCGCCCAACCGTTGGGCGACTTTCCCTTAAGTAAAAATCGGGTCTCGCCCCAAACAGAACACTTCACAGAAGCCTCCCCAACTGAAAGTAGCTGCTGCGACGGACGAAGAAGAAGACGGACGAACCGCCATCTCCAACTCCGGCGCTCCTCCATCTCCGGCGACTCCACTCCGGCAACCCTCCATCTTCATCTTCAACACTCTTTACTCCTTATTCTAGGTAAATCCAAATCCATTTCATATAATTTTGCACTTAGGGTTTAGAATGTTAATTTTTTTTTTTATTTTGGGATTATGAATTGATTGTGAATGAAGTTGTTGTGAAATGTGAATATGTATGAAATGTTGAAATATGATTTTAAATTGTTTGTAAATTATAATGTGTATTTTGACATTTGAGCATTTGGGTATAGTTGAATGTACCTAAATTTGGGTATTCAAAGGTAGACATTGAATGTAGATATCAAAATTTGGGTAGTTTGTTATTGAAATGTGAATTGTTTGTGAATTTGGAGTTAATGATATATTACAATTTTGGAAGCAATTTCTATTAAAAATGTGAATGTGTATAAAGTGTGTATATTGATGCCTACTCATGAATGTTGGACAATGAGTTGTTATTAGAAGATGGATTTCTCAAGCTTCCCACTCGTGTGTCATTGGGGAGGGAACTATTATGAGAATGGTGGGCAAATATGCCATGAAGGTGGCAGAACGAGCTTTGTCATGGTTTCTCGTGGCACTTGCATGGTCGAGATCCTTCAAAAAATACATGCAGCGACAATGATTCATCCCGGCCGTTCATTGCGGTTGAAAATGAAATTTCCCATGAACGGGGGAAAGTACATGCTTATGCCGCTCATTGATGAGCTAGCTATAACAAATATGTGGGGCATAATTCAGATGGAGGATATGTCGTCGCTGGAGGTATACATTGAGGAATGCTTTGACGCTAATGCTACTCAATCGACATCAAATGCTGGTGTATCTAGGCATGATGTCATTACAGGGGTGAATGCAGGGAAGTCGTCAAAGGTTCCTGTACTAGACATGGTTATACAGGAGGATGGCATGTATTTGCACAACGGTGCATCATTTGTGTTAGTTTTTGTTGAATGTAAATGCATTAATAAAATCCATATTATTGATATTGTAACATTAATGGTTAGGTGGCTATATGCTGGTTTATCTCGCATGTCATCCGCTACTGGCCTCGGTGTGTACAGGGATGCATTGGATCGGATGTCAGAGGACCAGGTATGGTGTGTGTAGTATAACAGTAACTAGAATAGGTGTAGAATAAATACTAATTTTGTATGTTTACGAAACAGATCACATGGATGCCGTATAGACCTGATATGTTAGCAGAGTTGCCCCCAGCTGGACGAGAGCAGACTCACATATGGCGAGCACGTGTGCCGCTGATATGTTTTGACATTGTTGAGCTTCATTTGCCTGATAGAGTCATGCGACAGTTTGGGTTTGAGCAGGTCATTCCACGTCCTATCGACACTTATGTAGAGCTGCATAAGCTGGATAGGCGTGGGAAGCATACAGAGGATTGGGCACTCAGACATGTCCGATACGTGACTATGTGGGATAGGAGAGCTGAGCTAGCCGTGGCTGGGACACCCACATATGTGCCATCAGTTTCAGGAGATTACATGGGATGGTACTACAGCATCACTCGGTTGTTTGTGTCTCCTTCGTTCAGACTCCCTACTCATCATTATCAGCCTAGCTCATTGGCATTGCATCTTACGGTGAGTATATTACTAATTAGTAAAGTAAGTCATTTTATTTATGTAATACTTGTATGTATTTGAATGTAATTGTAATTGTGTTTCGTATTGCAGACCCGAGCTTTGCAGCGCATACATCAGCGGGCTACTGCCACTGTGACTGATATTCCTGATGTGGACATGTATGGACAGACTCTGACAGGCATTGCCTCGTTATGCTCAGATGTGTTGGGTCGAGTAGACTACGGACATCTTATACACATGCCCGCATCTCAGGAGATGGCATCCACGTCTAGTGCAGCCGCGGGTTCATCATCCCAGACGCAACATGAGAGAGTGGTTCTTCAACCACGACAACGCCGTAGGCGTAGACATGAGCAGCAACATCTCCATGACGAAGCTGATGATGGGAACTTGTAGTTTGTCTTTTGTATTGTAGTTTTTCTTATGCAATAGATGTTGTAGGAACAATTTACAAGTTTTGATGTATTTTCTCTTGTTAAGTATTCTATGTTGTATTGATGTGTTCAAGTATGAATATTACATGATTATTTTTTATGGCATATATGATGATTGAACTGTGTTATACCGGTTATGATTTGAAAGTTTTTTAGCGCTGTTTATAAGGTGTTTTTTATGTTGTTGAGAGTAGGTGATTATCATGTGTTGTATCTAGTTTGTAACACTTCAAAAGGAGAAAGGAGACCTTATTTGTAGCAAACAGATCGGTCTGGATTGAACCGGGGCGAAAAACAAGCTGATTTGGTGTTTTAGGTAATAGGCACGATCGTGCCTAAGGGCCTGTTTGGATGGAGTGTTTGGAAGTGTTAGTAATGGAAGTGTTAGTAAGTGTTAGTAAGGGCTCGGAAGGGAAGGGAAGTGTAAGTGTTAGACATAATTTTACCTTGTTTGGGAGAGTCAAATGAATGAAGTGTTAATAATGGAAGTGTTAAAGAAAGAGTAAAGAGAAGAGATGAAAAAACAAACCATCAGACCCGTGGGAAAGACATTCGAAGTGAAATGTCGAAGCATTTTATGTTTTTCGGGCAAATGAGAAGGGTAATAATTGTCCAACACCTCAAAACACTCCAAATCGGGGTGTTAAAAAAATGGACAATTGAGGTGTTGGGAAGGTTATTATTAACACTTCCTAACCATTACTAACACTTCTTAACACCTCTAGTTTTTTCTCCCAAACAAGTGTTAGCATCAATACTTACTAACACTTCCATTACTAACACTCCTCAACACTCAATCCAAACAAGCCGTAAGGAAATAGGCACGATCGTGCGTGGCTGGCAGTAGCTGCTCGCTTGAAACCATATTTCAGGACAAAGTCGCCCAACCGTTGGGCGACTTATAAGTCGCCAAACGGTTTTGGCGACTTATAAGTCGCCCAACGGTTGGGCGACTTTGTCCTGACCACGGTTAAGGCCCAGCAGTATTTTGGTAAATACTTTTTTTCCAGCATTATTTCCGTAAATAATTAATTAATTAGCATTAATTAGGAAAAAAACTCTATTATTATTATAATTATTAAAATAATAATGATGATAATAATAATAATTATTATTTTTATTTTATAATAATAAAAGTGATAAATCGTGTTTGAAATTTTGTGATCTGATCTGATCTGATCTGATCAGAATCTTTCTGATCTGATCTAATCTGATCTGATCTGATCTGAATCTTTCTGATATGATTTGATCTGATCTGAATTTTTGTAATCTGATTTGATATGATCTAAATAAAATAAGAATAAGAAATAAGTAATAAGAATAAGACTAACATTCTCAACCGTCCCCCTCTCTCTCTGCAGGAGCAGACAGTAACATTCTGCACCCATATATCGTACCCGTCGCTATCAGCAGCTACCCCGCCCATCCCCGCCCGCGCCCGCGCCCGCACCCGCACCCATAGAAATGCTTTTTTGTTTTGTTTTTATTAAGAAAAGACCCGTGCAATTCATCCATCTCAAGCTCTACAGTCAAATTAATTTATGCAGAGTGTTGAAGTCCTGTTTAGATCTACTAGGCCTTCATTCTATGTAGAGAGATGAATCTTCAATCGGGCAAGAGAAAATTGACTGCTCGAGAGTTTAAGGAACTTGTGACATCACAGGCAAGGAGAGTGAGGGCCAAAGGTAAACCTCTTTTCTCCTTACTATACGTTTTTTGTGAATTTGCAGCTAAGACATTAACCTGCTTTGTGATGTATCTATCAGATGATATGCAAACAAAGTCTCTATCGGTTCACAACTTTGACGATCACACACAAGAACTAACCTCTACCTGCGATTCACAAGTAAGAAGCTGTTCTCTTCGCCTGATCTGAATGTTTCTGATCTGAATTTTTTAAGTTCTGATCTGATCTGATCTGAATTTTTCTGATCTGATCTGATCTGATCTGAATCTTTCTGATCTGATCTGATCTGATCTGAATCTTTCTGATCTGATCTGATCTGATCTGAATCTTTCTGATCTGATCTGAATGTTTCTGATCTGGTCTGATCTGATCTGAATGTTTCTGATCTGATCTGAATCCTTCTGATCTGATCTGAATCTTTCTGATCTGATCTGATTTGAATATTTCTATTATAATTATAATTATAATTATAATTATAATTATAATTATAATTATAATTTATAATTATAATTATAATTATAATTATTATAATTGCAATTACAAATAAAATTTAAATAAAATTATAATCATAATCGTAACTATAATAATAATAATAGTAATAATAATAATAATAATAATAATAATAATAATAATAATATTAATAATTAAAATTAAATTTAAAATGAAAAAATTTATACGTATTACACTAATTATAAATATAGATATAATTATAATTGTAATTATATTTTTAATTATAATTACTTATATAATTATAATTGTAATTATAATTACAATATTTATCTCTATAATTGTAACTCTAGTTATCAATATTATTATAATTACTCCATAAAATAATTACAATAGTAATAATAATAATAATATTAATAATTATAATAAAAATAATAATTATAATCATAAATTATAATTATAATATAATTATAAGTATAATTATAATTATTATAATTATAATTAAAATTAATTATAATTATATTAACATTAATTATAATATTACAATATAATAATAGTAATATAAATGCAATTAATATTATTATAACGATATTATTATATTAATATTATTATTACAATAATATAATAATAATATGATTATTATTATTATAATTAGTATTATATTATTATAATATTATATTATAATTATAATTGTAATCATAATTATAATTATGATTGTAATTATAATTATAATTATTATAATTATAACTAATTACAATTATAATTATAATTAATTATAGATATAATTATAATAATTACAATTGATTATACTTATAATTATAAGAATTTTAATTGTAATTATAATTATAATTACATATAATTATAATATAATATTATAATAATATTAATCATATTATTATTATTACATTGTAATAATAATAATAATAGTCTTCTTAATAATTGCATTTATATTACTATTATTATATTAAAATATTATAACTATTATTAATATCTTATTTTTTTATCATATTATTATTAATATTATTAATAATAATTATATAATAATAATAATCATAATAGTAATAACAATATTAATAATAATAATTAATATAATAATAAAAGTGATAAATCATGTTTGAACTTTTCTGATCTGATCTGAATGTTTCTGATCTGATCTGAATGTTTCTGATCTGATCTGATCTGATCTGAATCTTTCTGATCTGGTCTGAATCTTTCTGATCTGATCTGATCTGATCTGAATCTTTCTGATCTGATCTGATCTGATCTGAATTTTTCTGATCTGATCTGATCTGATCTGAATTTTTCTGATCTGATCTGATCTGATCTGAATAAAATAAGAATAAGTAATAAGTAATAAGAATAAGACGAACAGAACAGCACCTAACTCTACCTATTTCGTGCCTCTCTTGTTTCATGCTTCATATTTCCACTAAATACATAACACATACTTCTATGGTGTATGACACTTTATATGATCAGTGGCGAAATGTATGCAACTGAATCACATAACACGTCATTTTGGTGCTGCATTTCTGGTTTTGGCGTTGTCCTTCGATATAGGTGCTCATGTCAAAGCTATTCTGACTATTTGGTGTGATGTTTTACATTATTTTAGTGTTAAAAAGAGTGAGAGATAATGGAGTAAAGTAGACTGTAGTGTTTAAAGCTATACGTAGTATTGACATTTAGAAGAGTAACCAAAACAAGTTTATGCAACCTTCACTGAGTGCCTTCTAAATCACATGGGCGAAATACCTATCCTCTAGCACTAGCGGTTGGGATGAATAATGAATTCTACCTATGGCTATCACATGTCCAACCCCTTTAGTACCAAGTCAGTCAATATCCTTATTTGCTATCTTACTCTTTAAAGTAAGCTTATTTACTATCTTACACGTAGCTCGCTATTGTTTATTACATTTCCTTTCTTTAATAACACATTCAGAAGCAGCTTTTATTGAGAGCATCAATCATCTTTTATAACTTATGGGAATATTGAAGCATCTTTTCTGCCTGTTGTGATGCGCAGCACAGAAATTCCAAAGAGGATAATAATGGGACTGAAGGTGAAGAAAGCAAATGTCTCATATGCTCTAATGGGGGAAGGCTCTTGTAAGTTCCTATGCACCGTTTTCTCTGATAACTCGACACTGTAATTTGAAACACAAAGTTTCAAGATACTAAAACACAACGAGATTCAGTATATGGACTTTATGGAGTATCTTGACATTCACTGTTATTCGAGATTTTACTGTACTGCTATTTTCTACTCATAGGTTATGTTTTTGCATCCTAAGAACATCGAAACTACTTCTTGAAGTGTGACTGCAATTCAGATTGCAGTAGATATAACCGTCGCGGCACACTGAAGCTATACAAATGAGATTTTGAAAGGTCTAATTTATTTATTTTCCAGATGTTGTGCTGGAAAAGGATGCAGGAGGAACTTCCACCCGTGTTGTGTGGACCCCCCCCTAAAATATTTCCCTCTTGGAACGTGGTATTGTATTTCTTGTGTGAAAAAGAAGGTGGAATTAGGTGTGTATGCTGTATCTGAAGGAGTGGAGTCTGTTTTTGATTGCAGAGACAATAATTATGATAATGAAGGTACGCATATGTTTCTATTAATGAGAGTTGGCTTTTTTTTTGGTAAAATATTCACCATGCGTTGTTATAATTGTAACATGGGAACATGGTGTCAGTTACACATAAGCAGAAGAAAGTTGAGAAGGAATATTTAGTAAAGTACAAGGGCCTTGCTCATATTCATAACCGCTGGATCCCAGAGAGGGTTTTGATTCTTGAGGCTCCAACAATGCTTGCACAGTTCAAGAAATTCAATAAGGTGATTATAACCTGTCAACAAATCCCCACTCCCAGATGGTTTTATTAATGAGCCATTTGTGTGATGCTTTCTTCAGAAGGTGAGTTGGAAAAAGGATTGGACTATGCCTCATCGTTTGCTTGAGAAAAGGTTGTTGCTATTACCAGGGGCTAGTGAAATGAATTCTCTGTGGCATAATGGTGATGGTTCTGATTCTCATTATGAGTGGCTTGTGAAATGGATGGGCCTTGACTATGACCAAGCTACTTGGGAATTAGAGACTGCTTCGTGTTTAAACTCCCCTGTTGCATTAAAAATGATCAGTGACTATGAGCGTCTTCGTAAAAAGCCAAACCTGATGTATGTCCAGAAAATAATGACAAGGTATTTCTAGCTCTTTGAGGGCGTCCGCTAACATGCGAATTAACTATTTTGCATGTGAAATGTGGTAAGTAAAAAGTTTAAGTCATATGGTTTGAGTATATTATGTAAATTTAGGATATATTTTTAAACATTTCATATGGTACCATGTAAAATATTTTACGTGGTAGGAGAGTGATAAAATATTTTGCATGCTTTTTATATAGCACAACGTTGACTTTGCATGTAATTAAAAATTAGATCACACACCTAACAAAACAATGTAATTTTATTTTTTATGCAAAGTGATGCAATCACTTTGCATCCAAAGTTGAAATATGAAAACTATCAAAAGAGCCCAATATTTTCATTGTTCAATGCGTTAGGGATATATAATGTGGGAAACTTTCTCACTCCATTCCGTAAAAGCTAGTGTCGACTAGTTGAGAGAAGCAAGGAATTTTATTTTTCATGACTAATATTTTATTGATTGATGATCGTTTTTTTCCCTGCTGTTATTTCAGGGTAGTAAAACACCTTTTCCTGAGCTTTTAATAGCACCATTTGAATGTGCATCTCAAGTGCACATTAGTAATTTCATTTATGTGAACAAACTTATCCGATATTGGCAGACAAGAGAAAATGCAGTTGCTATTGACAACCAGGTTAATGATTTAACGTTCCTTTTCAAGTTTGCCTGAATTTTGGTTTTTTACCTCTGTTACATGTTTTGATGGACCGATGAGAGTAAACCTAAATTGCATGAGGGTGAAGGTGATAAAATTGTCATCTCAATCATTATTATTATTATTATTATTACTATTATTATATTTTTTTTACTGCATCTGAAAATATAATACTCCCTCCGGTTTTTAATAAACTTCACACTTTCCTTTTTGGGACGGTCTAAAATAAACTTCACACTTCCTTATTTCCTTTTTTGGCAAAGAAATCTACATCAAAACAGTGCCAAACAGTGTCTCAACAGTGCCAAACAGTGTCTCTACAGTGCCAAACAGTGTCAAACAGTGCCTCAACAGTGTACTCTACAGTAAAGTCAAATTTCTTTCCTTATTTTGTGTGAAGTCAAAGTGTGAAGATTAAATAAAACCGGAGGGAGTAATAAAGAGTAGAGCAAACTACAAAAAACTACCGAATAAAACTCTACAAAAAGCTCCACTACTTAAGGACATAATATAACAATAAAGGACGCCTGCCTGGCTGCACAGTAACACCACTGTGCTACTACAACTACTATCTCCCGTGGCACAGGTAGCAGAGCTTAAGTGTAGCACTGCCACTGACAGCGGCGCTGGACAGTGGGACCCTAGTCATTAGCTGTGCCAGACAGCAGTGGCACCATTAGTAAATAAAGTTTGGAAGGGAAAACCCCGCGGTGTAAAACAACATAAGTTCAATTTTAGATGATGGCTCTTGTCTTCCACACAAATAAGGCGTCTCACAACTACCGCTATTCCACATCCGTTTCAGAAAGATAGAAAAATCCTCCGTCATACTTCAAAAACCAAAGTTGAAAAAAAGTTTTGAAGGCTTTGTATTTTACTTCTCCAAAAGATCACTGTAGCTGAAGCCGAAGCTGTGTTCTCCGCCACAGAGCCTGCAGAAAAAAACTTGCATACTCAAAACTGGCAGCGGATCCAATGTTAATGAATATTCAGGCAACCTTCACGGTGGTTTCTGATAAAAAATCTGCCTAGCTGTGAATTCTCACACGCTGACGGGTGCGATGGATCTGAAAACTGACGGCTGTGCGTGCGGCTGATGCGTGGTAATTTGCCAATGTGGATTTCAATGGCGTGGTCGCTGGCGGCAGGCGCACCTGGTCAGGACGAAGGTGAGAGGTTCTGACTAAGTTCTGAATGAGGTTCTGACTAAGGTTGGAGGTTCTGGACTCTAAAAATTAGACTGGAATGTAATCGCTCTAATCTATATTATATAGTAAAACAGAAAAGTGTGGGGGAGTTTGGGCGGGAACACTGTAGCAATTTTGTTTTTTCGTTTTTTACGTGAGGGCTGCATTAATTGTGTTTTAGAAATAGGTGTGCTCATTACCAAATTGAAAAGCATTGGAAGCCGGAAAGCCAAACGTTGTAAAGCAACGTGCTGGCGGACATTTGTTATCATTATTATTTCTTAAAAGATTAAACACAAAGTAGTATGCATTCGTTGGCTAAGTACCCCGTAGCAATTTGGGCTTTTAATTGCTGTAAAAAAATACGGAGTACTACGTAAATCACATGGGAAACTGTATGTAGAGAAGACAAAAAACATCGCAGGGTGGAATTTTTTTGGATCTAAATGCATGGGCAGGCGGCAATAATTATGGAGTATTTTTTGGCTTTCCCAATTCCCATGGCGGCTGGTTGAAGAGCCTGCAATGACTTCAAAGGCCAATATAATCTAATACGTAGTACTACGTATATAAATACGATCCCAATTCTCTTAAGGGTATCATAATTACTATCAGTCTATCATAATGGAATTTGTTGGATCTAAATGCATGGGCTGTGTAATTAAGAGTTTGTTCATTCGTTTATTGATGAAAATATAAAATAAATTAGATCGACTCCCCTCTTCCTGCGTACTAATAACATCTTTTTCTTTCATTTTTCATTCTTTTTCTTTAACAAAACACCGTAATTAAGAACTAAGGATAACTTAAATATAAATGTCCTAATATGCAAAATAAAGTAACGTGCTAAGAGTATAAATGCAATTATGCAAATCACAGATGTTACAATATCTTTTAATAATAATATTCTTTATCTCAGTAATATAAATCCATATTTGTGCTATAATTTGTTTAAATATAAGTATATATATATATATATATTTAATCTTTAGTCTTTAGTAAATATGTTGACAATTGTCTTTATCATCCACTATATGTATACGATGTGCACTTTGGATATATTTTGACTATGTTCTGGAAAACCACAAGACCACAACTTTGAGTGTTGGGTTTTTTATGCTTAGAGAAATAAATTTATTATTAAGCTACACAAGTATGGGGATTGGCCGATTGGGGATATGGCTTAGTGAGTATAATTTCTGGTCATATAAACAATCCGACAATGGCCAGTAAATTATTCTCAATCTATTAGCTATGAATAATAAATCCACTAAATGTTCTTTTTATTTATGAATTATGATTAATGATTTATATGATGCATTTTTAGTGTCTTGGCAAATTCATATTTGTGTGTCATTGTGCAATTTTGAAATTAAATTCCTTTATTTCGTTTTACTATTGTGAATGTGTTTAATAAAATGGGTGAATTTGGTTGGGAGAGAGAAAAAAGGCAAAGATTAGAAAAGGCAACCTTAAGTAAGAAGGGGACAATGGAAAATTTTGTTTTTGTTAATAAATTGAATCCCGAAAATTCTTCTCAAGTTGAATCGCCGCTAAATTCTTTTGCGAATGAAAACCATAACATGCTTGGAAATAGTGATATAGGTGCAGAAGCCACAAATATTGAAATTGAACCGGATAAGTGTGATTTAGGTGAAGAGAACAATCTAGTGGTGTGTCCTGTTTCGTTGATCGATATTTAGAGATTACTTTTTGTCTTGAACATAGGTCCAAGATAATATCTCGGCCATAGGCCCCAAAATCGACAGGACCTGCCCTGGGGTGAATACTATGTAGAAATCTTCAATTTCTTTTGTCTAATAATATAGCAATAGGGAGGATTGATGCATTCCTTACTAGAACAAAATACGGAGTATAACATAAAGCAGTGAGATGACAAAAGCATTATAAATTTGTAAGTTTAAGGTGGGGTGGGAAAATGGGGGGTGTTTGGATAGGCAAAAGAAATGTTACTTTTGAAATTATAAGACATGCGTTTTCATAAGAAGTCAGATAATGTGCATTTAGTTTTGATGGTTAAGTAGGTGTTTAATACTAAAAGTTTGTTTTTATATCATAACTTTAGCCCAAAAGTACATATTTGGAATGAAATCAAATGTTTCAAAAGTATTAAGGAGAGTTTTCAATGACTTGAAACAAATACTACTTAGTTTTTTTTTATTCACTTCAGGGGTGTCTGGAGGAGGGGCTGGGGGGACGGGAGTAATGAGGGCTGAGTTTCAGCCCATTGAGTTTCGAACTCAAGACCTCCCGTAAGGGAGAGTGAGTTGGCGACCAGCTGGGAAGGACCGCTTCCTCATACTACTTAGTATTTATTTAGTTTTTATATCAAAATAGTCATTCTGAGCTCTTTGAAGTTAAGCATTCAAACCTAAAAATTCAAAATAAAGAATAAATATTTACAATTGTTTGTTATTTGAAATCCCTTACCAAGTTGCAATATGAGATAATTTGTACTCAAATTCCGTGCATCGCACGGGTACTATACTAGTACTATGTTGAAACATAAAGTATAAACTAGGAATACTATTGGAGATGAAAAGATTTTCTGTGTATTTCAATAGAGGGTTAAGTCTCTATAAATGTACATTACAAATAGAATATTCCTATATAAGATTCTATACATTATAGGAATATTATATTCCTATAATATTCCAAAGCATATTCTAATATCTTTCACAATGGGTTTCAGACTGAGTATATGAAGTGCAAGTTTAGTGAAGGTAGAAATATTGGTATTAGTGAAATTAGAGGGTTAAGTCTCTATAAATGTACATTACAAATAGAATATTCCTATATAAGATTCTATATTAGTGAAATTATATTAGATGGTAAGGAGGTACCAGTGAGTGATATGTCCCGTTACTTGGGTGTCAAGTATCTAGCTAATTCACAATGAATTTCAAGAAACAAGATGAAGAACAGTGATGTGCGTACAACTGAAAGGGGTTGTATTACGGAAAATAGAGAGAGAAATACAAAGGCAGTTAAAGAGTGCCAACTCTCCAAGTCCCAGGCCCAAATGATAATTCCCAACCTCCCTTCTTTTCTACCCTCAACATCTATTTATACCAACTCTAATAGTGTTCTTATTTCTTATTATTCTATGTGGGTCCCTTTCCCTATCATTACTCCCTCTTTGACAACCACCTTGTCCTCAAGGTGGGTGATAGGAGACAGTCCTGAAGAACATCTTCTTCTTCATCTTGGCGCCTGAACTTCATGAGCTGAACCATTGCTATCACTTTTTCCATTGCAAGCACCTGAGGCAAGGGCATGGTTACATGATGCTTCACTAAAACCTGGCCAGCACCAAGTGCTATAACCCCTACAAAGTCATTCTCATGGGCCAGGCCATCTATAATTGCAGGAAGAACCGGTGAGGCTTTGTTTTGTATGCTATCCGAAACAACCTCCAATATAATATAGATTCTTCCTGAATGAGTAGCAACCACAATCACACCCCTCCCACCATTTCTGAAAACTGATATAGGGGCCATGTGGATCTGCTCTATACCTTCAATATCTCTAGCCTCAGTATCTATAGCCTCCAAATATTTTTCTAGGAGAAAACTGTTCCCTCTTGTTTGCTTCAAACAATTCTGATTTGCACGTGAGCAGTGTTCCAAACAGCCCTCGAGAGAAACATTCCTGAATTCTCTTTGCTTCCCTAGCTGGATTTGCATCCAACTTTCTTAGCTCAATTGAGGAGAAAGAAGCCTTAAAGATTTTTCCAAACAAGTAGGGCTCCATTTCTATATTTCCAACATCATTAACTAGCTTGGATTCCATTAAAATTCCACAACTGGAACAGTTCACTTCTGGATCATTGAAGCATAAGATCATTTTATAAGGTTGAAAATTTACTTCAGCTTCCATTTCATTAACAATTTCTGGTTTTACAGATAAATCCCTGAGTTGTTGATAAGTTCTGGACCAATCTATCAATATTTCGAGCTAAAAGAAGAATCAATAATGGAAGAACAATCACATAGAAAGTTTATTCACGTAACAGAAATGAAGGTAGACAATTACAAGTCGTTACAAGAGTTCAAGTCCCAGTCCCAACTCCCAAACTAGTTCCAACCTCCCAAACTAATCATAAGGACATCTATTTATAATATCCCAGCCGACTCCCAATTATCATAGATCCTTATTTACTATTTCCTTTCCCTTTTCTAGTGTAGACTTTATCATAAAAAGTCACGCCATCCCTCAAATTAGACTGCTGCTTCCCTAGATCCTTATCATTACTCCCCGCCTGAACTACCACCTTGTCCTCAAGGTGGAAATCAGGGAACTGATCTTGAAACTTTTGCAGTCCTTCCCAGGAATCTTCAAAATCTGGAAGATGTTTCCAGTGCACCAAAATCTCTGTTTGTCCTTCTGCATTGACTCTACTGTCCAACACTTTCTCTGGATAAACCTGTAGTTCCCAGTCCTCAATTATACATTTTGGTAGAGGTTGGAAAGGAGTGTTGGTCGTCAGACTTTTCTTCAGTAGAGATGAATGAAACACAGGATGAATAACACACCCTTCTGGTAATTTTAACTTGTATGCTACTGGATTAATTTTGTCAATCACCTCAAACGGTCCATAATATCTAGGACTGAGCTTCTGATTAATCCTTTTCGCCAGACTTTTTAACTTGTAAGGTTGAATCTTGAGATATACCCAGTCTCCAATATCCAACTGAACTTCTCTTCTCTTTTGTCAGCTTGTTGTTTCATTCTGTTCTGGGCGGTAGCTAGGGTACTCTTCAACTCTTCAATCATTAGCTAGGGTACTCTTCAACTCTTCAATCATGCTATTTCTTTCCGCTGTCAGCTTGGTTATTTCATCATTAGCAGTCAAAGTAGCATCTCCCCTGATCAACACTGGAGGTTCCTGTCCATAAAGAGCCTTATATGGAGTGTTTTTCAGTGATACATGATAGTTGGTATTATACCAAAATTCTGCCCAGGGTAACCATTTAGGCCAGCACTTAGGTTTATTGCCTGTCATACACCTTAGGTTTCCACACACCTGTTAACCACTTCGGTTTGCCCATCAGTTTGGGGGTGGTATGCAATACTATATTTCAATTTTGTTCCAGCCATCTTGAATAATTCTGTCCAAAAAGAACTCAGAAACACACTGTCCCTATCAGATACAATGGTTTTGGGAAAACCATGTAGTCTAACCACTTCCTGAATGAAGACTTCTGCTACTCCTTTAGCATTATATGGGTGTGACAATGCTATAAAATGTGCAAATTTCGTCAACCTATCAACCACCACAAAGATAGAGTATCTTTTCCAAAAGCTTTAGGAAGTCCCCCGATAAAGTCCATACTAATGTCAGTCCATATTTGTGAAGGAATAGGTAGAGGTTGCAGTAATCCGGCAGGATTCAGTGTTTGATATTTATTTCTCTGGCACACATCACATTGTTGCACATAGTTCCTTATGTCAGTCCTCATTCCAGCCCAAAAGAACAAAGAAGAAATCCTCTTCATGGTCTTGAAATTCCTAGCATGCCCACCTACTGCAGATTCATGAAATTCCTTAAGAATATTTGGTATCCTATTAGAGTTTCTAGGAATCACCAATCTTTCTTTGTAGTATAAAAGACCTTTCCGGATTTTAAAATCAGCTACAGACTCAGGCTGTCCCCACAGTTGTTGTATAATGCTTTTATATTTGTCATCTTCCAGTAGTTCAGTTTCCAGCCCCTCCCACTCTTGGCAAGTGACTACAGATAAAGAATAGCTAGACCCCTTCCTTGAGAGTGCATCTGCTGCCTTATTTTCTATTCCCGGTTTATATTTGATGACAAAGTTGTATCCCAACAATTTGGTTACCCATTTTTGTTGGTCCTCTCCT